AGAATGATGATGGCGATGGCGATGGCGATGGCGATGGCAATGGCAGAGAGGGATCTCCAGTTATATTAACGCCCGGAGCGAAGATAAGGGCTCTCGTGGCCGCTTATGATATGGACTCGGACGAGGATGCCAATACAAGCGCCAATACCGAGACAAGCAATAAGAAGCTGGGCGGTGAGGAGCCGGAGGTGATGAAGAATAAGAAGGTGCCTGTGTCGAGGCCGTTGTTTACGACGATGGCGGCGGATAGGGCGTGGGTGGCCGGCAAGGGTGAGAGGGCTGGTAGTGCCGGGCATATGGATCACGAAGAGGAAGAGGAAGAGGATGAGGATGAGGCGCCTGTGAGGCCGAAAGGGAAGATGGCGGCAAGGATGCAGGCTGCTGCTGCTGCGGCGGCGGCGGCGGACCGAAGTTCATCACGGGGAGGGAGGGTGGATGGACTTGTTTTGAAGGGGATGGGTAATGGGGATCGTGCGGCGGTTTCTAAGAATGTGAATCGGGATGAGAATATGGGTGCAGATGGAGATGCTACAATGTCTACATCTACACGGAAAACTTCTCCTGTACTGGAGTCTCGTTCACATTCACATTTCCCGCTGTTTGTGGCGCAGGGATCACCCAAGCTGAATGCCAATGAGGCTACGCAAGATACTACTGATACCACTGACGATGAACTTCCGACAACTAGAGGGAGGAGACGGAATTCTCGCTCCATTGCATCGAACAGATCATTCTCGCCGCTGTTCGTCCCGCAGGATTCACCCGTTACTAAGAAGAATGACAAGTTGGTCGATGGCATGGAGACAGATGATGATGCTGATGCTGATGCTGATGCTGATGATGTTGATGTTGATGACAATGCCCCAGCATCCTCCACAGCCCACAACCGCCTGCTGGCTCTTGTCGAAAAGAAGCGGAAGGAACGGGAAGCGCGTGAACAGCTCGAGGCGGAGAAGAAAGCAGCACGCCTACAGCGATCCAGCGACCTGCATGAAAAGCTGTTTAGTTCCGATCAGGTCATCGATGATGGCGACGATGACGCAGATGACGACGATTTGGAAGCGGCGAGGAAGCTAACACAGCATTCACGGCCGTCGGCGAGAAAGGCGAGTAAGAAGGCGCTCCTCGAGATGAATCGGGAGACGCAGAGGATTAGTCGGAATATGCAGCTGGCACATCAGGCCGTGACCAGGAAGAAGATTACAGTTGATAGCTTTTTGGAGAGGTTTAGGAAGAATAGTGCGGGTACGGCTCCGGCTGGGGTCGTTGCTCCGGCTCCGGCGTCGAGTTCTGTGCCTGCTTCTTCGGATAATGAGGGGCAACGAAGACAGTCTACGCCGCCTTCTTCGCCGGTGGAAGAAGAGAGCGCGTTAGGAGATGAACCTGCCGATCCGGCTGTTGAGGATACCAATACACATAAAGAGGTCAACGTGACGAACCATGAGGACCTTGAACTACCGTCTGTGGAAGATATATTTGCTGGGACTGCAAGGGTTGTCGCCAATGCACCACCCAACCCGGCCCCCAAGCTCTCCTCCAAGCCACCCTCCATAGCCCCAGCAACCGCACCAAAGTCATCCAAACCAGCACGACCCGCCGTCCGCGTCCGCCTCTCCCGTCAATCCATAGAAGAAAACCAAAAGAACGACTCCGACTCTGACCTGGAAATAATCACCTGCCCCGCCAAGACGAGACGCACAGCCGTCTTCGAAAACCTGCCCGCCCGCAATAACCAATCCTCGTCATCGAGTACGTTGCTGAAACTGAGGACACTGGCGCAGCTTACGTCACCGTCGAAGATGAAGCAGAGGTCCATGACGCAGGGGGAGTTGGAGGAGAATTTGATTCGGAGGGCGAGAATGCAGGCGCTGAGGGAGAGGGAGGAGAAGATTGAAGATCTGAAGAGGAAGGGGGTTTGGGTTGAGAGTGCTGAGGAGAGGGGGAAGGTTGAGGAGGAGGTTGAGGATTTGTTGGAGAAGGCGAGGGGGGAGGCGAGGGAGATTGCGAGGAGGGAGAAGAAGGAGGGGAAGAAGAAAGGGGAGGGGGATCAGGATGTGGTGGATTTGGATGATAGTGAGGATGAGGATTATGAGGGCGAGGAGGAGGAGGAGGAACAGGTGGAGCTTTCTGGGTCTGATGAGGAAGATGAGGATGAGGAAGGGGAAAGGGAAGGGAAAGGGGAAGGGGAAGAGGAAGAATCGGAGGATGGGGATGTACGAACTGAGAAAGGGGATGAGGGGACTGGGCAATTTATCCATAAAGAAGCTGATGAAGCTATGATCTCCGACGACGAGCGGAGTGAATCGGAGGAGCCCCAGGTGCAAGGAACGGACGAAAATGCACCGCGCAGGAAGAGAAGACGCGTCATCATGGACGACGAGGACGACGATGTGGATGACCTCAACGAAAACGAACCCAAAAACACCCTTCCTAAACCCCACGAAACCCCCATCCGCTCCCAGCACTCCCAACCCCTCTTCCCTCACCTCCCAACGACCGGCCACCCCTTAATGGGCCTAACCCAAGCCTTCGGCGCCACCTTCGCAAACAGTCAAGACGACCAGTACTCAGATGGCCAAGAGGACTCCCTCGCCCTCCTACGCCGCATGTCGAACTCCGAGCGTCCCGTCGACGAGCTGCTGGAACGCGACTTCCAGCAAGATATAATCCGCGACAGCCAGGGCAGTGGTGCCGTTTCGGATTCGCTGCCCCTTGATATCTTCGCTAGCTATCCAGTTGCCAGTGAGGATCGTGTCTCTGAGTCCCCAGCAGCGAGGACAGTGGCGTCGTATTCGTATTCGCAGGCGCCGGAGCCGACGCAGGATGCTGGGTTTGTGTATTCGCCGTTCGATCAGGGGAGGAGGTTCAAGGATGTGCCGTTCTCGACGGTGGAGACGGTTGCGGTTGGGGGTGGAGGTGGGAATGATATGTCTCCTGTTGCGAGGAGGGGGAAGGGGAAGTTGAGGCGTGGGCCTGCTGCGGAGTTTTCGGATGTGGAGGAGGAGGATGGTGAGGATGACGACGACGATGATGATGATGGGTTTTTGGGTAAACGTAGCGCGTTTGATGTTATGCGCAAAGCGTCGTTGGGGAAATCTGCAAAGGCAAAGGCGAAGACGCCCTTTGACAAGACGAAGAGTAAGGCGAGGGAAGTTATTGATGATGTTGCAGAGGAGTCTGAGGATGAATATGCGGGGCTTGGAGGGGCAAGTGATGAGAGTGATGGTGAGGAGGATGAGATTGATCTTAGTATGATCAATGATGAGGGCGGAGAGGTGGTTGATGAGAAGCAGTTGGCGGCTTTGAATGCGTATGTCTATTTCCCTTTTTTTACCCTTTTCCACCCGTTTTTACAGACATGTAGCATTATTGCCAATGATAACTAACAATCCACATCCCACAGAACCCACTCCCGCCAACAAGACGAGCAGCAAGTCAACAAGCTCATGCGCGACATCACCACCGGCGCCCTCGGTCGTCGTCGTGGTGCAGCAACCGACGACCTGGACCTGTCTGATTCTGACGACGAACGCATCGCCGCCCGCCGCCGGGCGAAGAGGAGGGAGTTTGCGAAGATGCGCAAGGCACTGTTGGCTGATGAGAAGATCGGGATGATTGCGGAGGATCCCAAGAAATCTGCTTTTTTGCGCACAATTGAGGATCGGGATGTGGATAGTGACACTCCCATGGCGGAGTTTTTGGGCGGGGATGACGATGGCGATGGTACTAGCTCGCAGAATACGCCAGAGCAAGATGTCGTCATGGCTGGTCAGTTGGAGGGACTTGAGAACAGGCACCTTGCTGCTACCAATAATAATAATAATCGCAAACGCCCACTTGACCAGTCAGCCCACGATGCGGTAAATCGGCGTCCGCCGCCACATCTTCGTCGGAAGGCAGGGGGTGTGACGATCAAGAAGCCGTCGACGCTTGCTGAGATTCGTGAGAGTGTCTCGTTCCTGCTTGAGGGGGATGAGCCGAATGAGTCGGAGCCGTTAACCGGGGATATCTTGCTTTCGGACGAGGAGCGGCCGGAAGAAGTGCGTCGGGCGAGGGAGGGAACTACTGATGAGGGACAGGATGATGAGCTGGAGACGCATCTTTTCTCTAACGGTTGCGGGGATGGGAATGGCGGTTCTGACAGGGCGAGCTCCAGCAGTAGTGGTAGGGGCAGTGGAAGCACCCACTCCAACCCCCGCCGCCGCCGACCGCGGGGCAAAGTCGTCGACCGCCTCTCTCTCCGGCGCCAGGCATCCTCCAACGCCGCCTCCACCAGCACCAGCACCACCCCATCCACATCGACCTCCGGTCCCCGCCAAGCCTTCTTCTCCACAACCACAACCAGCGTACCAGCCTTCACACGCCCACCGCCGCTCATCCACCGCGCCACGAGCAACCTATCCGTTTCGTCCGTGACGACGGCCGAGTCTGGGGTTTCTGTAGTGACGACGGGATATTCGGTGTCGGTGACGGAGGGTGGGTGTGGGGGTGGTGGGAAGAAGGGGAGTGTGAATTATTATGCGGCTGCGAGGGAGAGGCAGAGGCAGTGGGAGGTCAGGAGGGGGGAGAGGACAAGGGCGGGTGGGAAGGGAGGTGGGAAGGTCGTTGAGGGGGTTTTGGGGGGGTTGCTTGGGGGCGGGGAGTGGGAGTGAGGTGATTGAGTTGGGTTGTTGGATTTGTTAGGCATTTGGGATGGGTTTTTGCTGGCGGGGTGTTAATGGAGTTGTTTTTGATTTATATGTACATGTGTATACACATTGTCTTCTTTTTAGTTCTTTTGTTTTTCTTTTCATTGAATTTTTCATATGAATAGATGAATAAACTCGAGCAGCTGGGATCTTAAGTACGGCTCTATTTTAGACTATGTTATCGTACTGTGCTATGTGTGTAACATTGCAAGTTACCTGTGGATTGATAGAATCCGTTTCATTCAAGTCTGTTTCACGGAAAAGCCACAAAGAGGGAAACGGACATATACACACATTACAACAGATACCTTCTCATCCATCCTTCCACTCCAAAACATCCCACTCAACACCAACAATCCACTTCTCAACCACCATCCCCGCCGTCCCAGCCGCCCCACGTAACCCACCACCCTCACCCTCACCCTCACCCTCACCCCGTCCCCCCTCCTCTTCCCGCCTCATCCGTCTCCTCCCTCTACCCCCCGCAAACTCCTCAATCTCCATCTCCCACACCAAACCCCTTCGAATCCCTATTTTATCTCCCTTCGCAATAGTGGGCAGAGGAGCTAGCGACGACTGCGGATAACCCTGCGCATCATATGCAGCGTGTCTATGTCCCCGAGAACGGGATGGAGCGGACATGGGTGCGCCGAAGAGGAGGATTTTGCGGGGCGGTGGCTGCGTGTGTTGTTGTGTGGGAGATGGAGTTGTGTTGGGATTCGTGCGGGCAGGTGTTGTGATGGGATAGGGGTTGGGGTGGTTTATGGGATTTGCAGTTATTAATGTGACAGGGGCCGGGTGGCCCGGTGTATATATGAGCTGTCCATTGCTGTGGGCAGACGAGGGGTGTTGCAGGTCTAAGACTTGGCATGTGAGGTAGTAGTTAATTGTTCGGGTTAGGGTTGGGATTGGTTGGTGCGTGGTTCTGGATGTCTGGGTATTA